ACAACAACAAAAAACATGTCAATCTTTAAAGCAAAGGCTCAGACAGACAGACAGCATCTGGAATAGGTAAGTTTGGTTAAAAGCTTTCAAAGTCACTGTAAAAAATATATTTTTTCCATTGATGCCAAATCTCATCAAATTACTGTATAACTAAAAGCGTTCATGGGGTTTCCGGAAATTGCATTTTTCCTTAGAATAAGTAGCATGATCATAGGTTAAGCTAAATATTTACACTTTTTATTGGACTAAATTGCAACAGGGTTTTTATAATAGAATGTCATGGTTAAGAATAGGGAATTTTAAACTGCCTTTTAAGCTCAACGAGTCTTGTTGGAAATTAAACTGGGAAGTAGTTGGCATTTGAACATCTGAAGCATTTACCTGACGTCATTTTGCTGTGGAGGTTTCCTCTGTCCTACCAGGTTCACTGTTCTTGCTTGAATGGGCTTCTCTTCTCTGAAAAAGACCGTTAGAAAAGAACACTGTCAGTGCAAACGCCTTGCTGTGAGTTTGATCTTTTTCTTACGTGAACTTTCTTGTACTTTTCAGTGTGTCAGTCGCACCAAACGACATGAATGAAGTTACTCACAAACTTTTAGTTTGGGAAAACTAAAGCCAGCCTTTCACATCTCACAGGTAATTTCGGAAATGTGAAAACCTTCCTCAGAAAAGTGAATTGTTTAGTCTTGGGTTATGCTCTTAGTCTTTATGAGTTATCCCTGAGTTCTAAGTCGTGATAGAAATCATTTAACGAATGCAAACAAAACTGATTAGATTATCACCCCCATTTTCAGAGTGGTTTGTAGTGTCATTGAAGGCCTCACACAAAAGTGAGAAGTATCCAGTACTTCCAAAAATGCAGTCACTGTGCGAATCTAAATCATCTCATCCATAAACACAGAGCACTCGGCTCTGATCAGTCTGATCACAAACCGGAAACTCAAGAGAGAATTCCCTACCAACACCCACGCTGTCTTTTTCTTGTCAACATTGTGGGAACATAAGTCTTTTCTGGCACATTAGAAACGGCTAAATATCCTGTGCTGACTGTTTAAGAGATTATATGGCAGTGATTGAATGGGCTC